ATGCCGCGTGAAGCCTTTTTAATAAACTCTTTAATCTACTCACGGGGGAGGAGCCCTCATAACCCAGTGACTTCTTAATACCATCACAGTGACCATTAAGTTTCCACAGCTGAATTTTGGAGGGGACATATTCAAACCATAGTAGATGGCAAACATACAGACACTTTCTACAGAAGACCCTAGTTACAGTGTTTGTTGATATGGGGCAGGCTACTCAGGCTCATCACTTAAGTATTTTTAATGTCTTTGCCTGGAGACAGTTGGTTTTGTCAGGTGAACCTTGTGGCTGTCAAACTTGCATGGACCATCCCATGTTAAGATGGCAATTATCATGTTGGGATGGCTCTTTCTTAATTTCCCTCATTCCTTTCTACATTTTTAATTGGACTTCTATTAGGAAGATTTGTCCCCTTCCCTCATTCATTTATTATAATTTATTCAGTTACTTGTATCAATATGGATAATTGCCTGGTGGATAGGGAAACCTCAATGGGAGCTGGGCAGCAGGCAGGAAGGCACTGCCCTCTACACAGAAGAACCCAGCAAGATTTGCAGGAAGGCTAGTTGGTGTGAGATGCTTGTCTGTGTGGAAGCCTGGGAATGGTGACTGGCTCCAGCCTGTCCCTTTGTAAGTGAGAAGGTTGAAGGCTGCACAAGTGAAGGCCAAGGTCCAGGCTATGCCTGGGTCGCTGGAGTTGGGGCAGAACTGGCAGCTGGGGGCTCAGGGGTGGGGTCCAGGCATGGAGTTGGTTTTGAGCACTGAGATCCACATGAGTGACTGTGCTCTGAGGATTGAACACTCCTAGGAAAATATAACTGAGAAGTAGGAAGTAGACTGGCAGGCCATGAGTTTTAGGCTTCAGAAGTAGGGCCGGGCCCCTCAAGGATGGGTCATTTTTATACTAATGCTCATTTTATTAAGCTTTGAAAATGGACAAACCCAGAAGAAAATGCACCATATTTCCACCAGGTGGAAGGGATTTTGGTAAATCTTGAATTGAGACTGAGCATAGGCAGGAAAGAGTTGACAGATGAGGAGAATTCACTTGTGGGAGCAGGAGGAAAAAGGGAAGGAGGAGTCATGACGACTCAATCATGGGCTACCTTGAGTGTCTTGCTGAGGCCCTGGCTTTGTCTCCTGGGCCAAGGGGAGCCATACGAGGTTGTTGAGAATAATATAGTCACAGTGGCATGTGAAGAGGCTGAGAGGAGATGCTGCTGTGGCATCCATCCAGGTGTGAGATGTGCAAGGTCAATGAGATGAGAAAAAAATTGGTAAGAGGCAGGTGAGAATGTCAAGGGAGAGTATGAGCCATGTCTGCTGGTTGCCTCATACCCAGAGCACAGACATCACACGCATACAAACTATGCTCATACCACATGTATATACCTTATGCACATGTACACATCATACACAGGCACACTGCATGCATACCTGCCTACCACACACATGCACATAGCACGCACACACTACATGCACATATGTACCACACATGTTGCATGCACATGTGTACCACACACATGCACCACACACCATACACAAACTGCACACACAATACACATGCCCACATGCACATACAGGTACACATGCACCAGATACATGCATGTGGCACATACGTACACCTTGCATGCACACACATGTACCCCCACACATACATAGTTCACACATACCTGTATCACACAGTGAACTGCACACGTGACACACACATTTATCACACACACGTACACACATGCTGCCTTAGTCTATTTGGGTTGGTATAACAAAATATCATAGCTTGGGTGGCTTGTAGACCACAGAAATTTATTTCTCACTGTTCTGGAGGCTGGAAGTCCAAGATCAAGGCACCAGTAGATTCAGTGTCTGGAGAGGCCCTGCTTTCTGATTCATGGATCTCTGTTTTCTTGTGTGTCCTCCCATGGTGGAAGGGATGAGGAAGCTCTTTGAGGCCTGTTTATGGTGATCAGCCATGCATCACAGAGATGAAAGGTTTATGATTTAATTCTCCATGACCTTTAATCACAGGAGAAAGAGAGCTCTCAGACTCTGCAGTTCTCCCAGGTCATGGCTGCACAGGAGGGAGGGAGGGATAGGCCATTCCATCCCATTGTTCCCACTTGCTTTCCGTTCTATTTTTTAATTTCCTCTTCATATATGTGGCATGCATGTGCTGAGGATAAGCGTTCTGGTCCCCATACCCTGTTTTCTAAGGTCGACTTGTAGTCCTCAAAGGGCATCCCATCCCTGCTGGGGCCAACCACCTGGTATCATTCCCTGTGCCTCTGTTACTGCTTAGGGGCATGATGGCTAGGCCTGTAGTTTGTGCACTGAGACCAACCATTCTGCTTTTCCCAGGTTTCTTTTATGCTTCCTCGGAATAGGTGACGGGCTATGGGCCTTTTCTCCCCTCAGTAACGAACACAAAACTTATTTTTCTTCAGCTACAAACACCCAGTCACTCCCATTTAAGCCATATCATGTCATGGTTGACACCCATTGAAGCCCCATCCAGACCTGAGAGGCAAAGCAAAGAACCCAGGTCTCAGCAATGAAGTGGATGCCCAGGCCTGTGTGCTATGGGGCTCTTCCATGGAGCAGGGAGCCATGTCATGGTGTAGCTGTAATATTCACAACTTGAGTTTCAGAAACTAGAGTTTCTGAAACCTCCATCTGATGAGTTTAAGTGAGAAGTTTAATCTTTTTTTTTTCAATAGAGTTGACCTCTATTACACTCTGAGTAGCACTCAGCACTGAGATGTGCATGAAGCTGCCTGAGAGAGAAGCCCACGCATCTGATGTCCTTGCCTCTTTTATAAACAAATTCATAGACACTCTTGGGGTTCTCATTATAGATGGCCAGCCTCTCAGTTTTCAAGGGAATACTCAAACATTACCTTGATGAATTCTTTTTCCTAAAGATTAAATCTGCCTTCAGTTTCCCTAAGAAAAGTCCATCTGTTACTCAGGCTGGAGTGCAGTGGTATGATCGTGGCTCAATATAGCCTTAAACTCCTGGGTTCAAGCTATTCTTCCACCTTAGCCTCCTGAGTAACTGGGACTTCCGGTACTTGCTATCATGCCTGGTTAAGTTTTAAAAAATGTTTTGTACAGAGAGGTTCCTGCTATCTTTCCCAGGCTGGTTTTGAACTCCTGGCCTCAAGTGATCCTGCTACTTCAGCCTCCTCAGTAACTGGAATTGCAGGTGCGAACACCATTCCCAGTGGAAGTTTAATCTTTTAGTGGGAGAGAGATGCCTACTAAAGGAATTGTGATAAGAATAACATTATCATAGGTTGTTGTAAATAGATAATTTCCACTTAAAAACTCAAGTAACAATGCAAAATAGGACATTACATAATTTAAATCCACAATATAAAAAAATTTTATGTATGTCAGAAACTGTATCCATATTTCCTTCTTTATGAGTACCTGCAACCTGTGAAGTAAGTAACTTCATTCTATTTTTTAAAATTTCTTTTTAAAAAATTTTATTTTACTTTAAAACAAAGTAGGGGATATATGTGCTGAAAATGCAGGTTTGTTACATAGGTATACATGTGCCGTGGTGGTTTGCTTCACCAGTCAACCTGTCATCCAGGTTTTAAGCCCCACATGCATTAGGTATTTGTCCTAATGCTCTCCCTCCCCTTTCCGCCTACGCCCCGACGGCCCGAGTGTGTGATGTTCCTCTCCCTGTGTCCATATGTTCTTATTGTTGAACACCCACTTATGAATGAGATCATGCGGTGTTTTGTTTTCTGTTCCTGTGTTAGTTTGCTTAGGATGATGGTTTCTAGCTTCATCCATGTCCCTGAGAAGGACATGAAATCATTCTTTTTTATGGCTGAGTAGTATTCCATGGTGTATATATGCCACATTTTCTTTATCCAGTCTATCATTGATGGGCATTTGGGTTGGTTCCAAGACTTTGCTATTGTAAATAGTGTTGCAGTAAACATATGTGTGCATATGTTTTTATAGGAGAATGATTTATAATCCTTTGGGTATATACCCAGTAATGGGTCAAATGGTATTTCTAGATCCTTGAGGAATTGCCACACTGTCCTCTACAATGATTGAACTAATTTACACTCCTACCAACTGTGTAAAAAACGGGGTTTCACCATGTTGATTGACCAGGATGGTCTCGATCTCTTGACCTCGTGATCCACCCACCTCAGCCTCCCAAAGAATAGCTCCCTTTTTGTGTGCATGCATGGCATAACAAAACTCAACTCCAGGCCAGGTGCCGCGGCCCACGCCTGTAATCTCAGCACTTTTGGAGGCCGAAGCAGGTGGATCACAAGGTCAGGAGATCCAGACCATCCTGGTCAACATGGTGAAACCCGGTCTCTACTAAAAATATAAAAAATTAGCCGGGCGTGGTGGCACACGCCTGTAATCCCAGCTATTCAGGAGGCTGAGGCAGAAGAATCGCTTAAATTTGGGAGGAGGAGGCTGCAGTGAGCTGAGATCGTGCAACTGTATTCCAGCCCGGGCAACAGCGAGACTCCATCTCCAAAAAAAGAAAAAAAGGCCGGGCGCTGTGGCTCAAGTCTGTAATCCCAGCACTTTGGGAGGCGGAGGCGGGTGGATCATGAGGTCAAGAGATCAAGACCATCCTGGTCAACATGGTGAAACACCGTCTCTACTAAAAATACAAAAAATTAGCTGGGCATGGTGGTGCGTGCCTGTAATCCCAGCTACTCAGGAGGCTGAGGCCGGAGAATTGCTTGAGCCCAGAAGGCAGAGGTTGCGGTGAGCCTAGACCGTGCCATTGCACTCCAGCCTGGGTAACAAGAGCAAAACTCCGTCTCAAAAAAAAAAAGAGAAAAAAGAAAAGAAAAACCTCAACTCCATCCCTGCTGACTGCAGAGTGCTCCAGCTGCTCCAGGCTCCAGCAGAGGAGGAGCGGGGCGGGTGGCACCAACGAGGGAGGCCCTCAGGCCTGGTGTGCACACATTTCAGAGGCCACCCAAACCTTACTCCGCCGCTTGGGCTGCCCAAGCTACAGTCGCCCTGTGTGTGCAGGCAGCAGCCACCTGGGAACTCGTGAGCTCGCGGGAGCTCCCAGGCACTCCCAGCATCACAGAACCAGGGCCAGGTGTCCCGGTGGCTGCTACCAAGCTAGGCATTCTGCTAGGTAGGCGGCTGCACCAGGGCGAGAACTGACAATCTGCCGCTCAACCCCATGCTGGGCGACTGCTCTGTGCCCATGCAGTGTCCTGATCTCCGTGTGGTGGAGAAGTGGGGCGGGACGCACGGCCGAAGGGCCTTCAGGCTGGGCGCACTGGCCATCCCGAGGCCGCGCAGGCCATGCCCCTCCAGCCTGCCAGGGCACCCAAGCTGCAGCCGCCTCCAGGCAACCTCCGAGCCCGCGCGTACTCCCAACATCGCAAACAGGGCCAGATGTCCCAGTGGGTGCGGCCAAGAGAAGCGGTCTGCCCGGCGGCGGCGGCTGCTCCAGAGCGGGAACCGGCCTTCAGCCCCATCCCCTGTAGCTGAGGAGGGCCCCTGCCAGCTGCCCCGCGAGCCCGGGAGAATCCGCAAGCCAGCGGCGCCTGCGCCAGAGCTGCCGCTGCCCCCTATCGTCGCGCGGGCTTGGGAGAAGCTTCTGGGGTCCCACGGCGCTGAGCAGTGGGCGCGCGCCTAACGGCTTCACCCGGTTCACTCCGTCTGACAGATCGGAGACTGCCGGTGTCGCTGCTGAAGGCTGTGGTGGACCGGGCTGGATAACAGATTCTGAGCTACATCGCGGGTTTGGGGGTGGATTTGGGGCTGGGTGGGGGTGGAAAGGACACGAGGAGCCGCAGCGGCTCAGGAGCCGGTGGTGGGCAGCTGAGAAGTCGCCACCATGAGGAAGCTCTTCAGCTTTGGGAGACGCCTGGGCCAGGCGGTCCTGCGCTCCATCAATCACGATGAGTACTCGGGTCCCGGGTACCACATCCAGGACTGGGAACTGCGGAAAATCCACAGGGCGGCCATCAAGGGTGACACCGCGGAGGTGGAGCGCTGCCTGATGCGCAGGAGCCGAGACGTCGACGCCCGCGACAGGAAGGGCAGGTAGAGGGGGCTTAGCTCAGGGTAGGAGGGGGTCCCCAGGCCCGGCTTCCCCACAGCCCCGCAGCCCCGCAGCCCCGCAGCCCCTGGGGCGGCTCCCTTGGAGCAGCGGAGCCAAACGGAGCCTCAGCTGCTTTCCATCGCTGGCTCCTGAATATTTCATTTAAACCTATGAGTAGGTGTGATGTGGTACTGACAAGAATGCATAGTTTATGTGTTTAAAGTGGAGAGCTCTATAAATGTTTATTAAGTTAACTTGTTCTGGATCTGAGTTCACGTCCTGGATATCCTTATTAGTTTTCTGTCTCGTTGATCTATCCTAATATTGATGTTGAAGTCTCCCACTGTCATTGTGTGGGAGTCAAGGGAGTCTAAGTCTCTTTATAGGTCTTAGGTATCTGGGTGTTAGGATCGTTAGCTCTTCTTGTTGCACTGATTCTTTTACCACTATATCTTTGTTGCTTTAAAATCTGTTTTATCAGAGGCGAGAATTGCAACTCCTGCTTTTTATTTATTATTGCTCTCCATTTGGTTGGTAAATCTTTCTCCATCCCTTTGTTTTGAGTCTTTGTGTATCCTTGCATGTGAAATGGATCTGGATGTAGCATATTGTTAGGTTTTGGTTGTATCTTTTGATTGGGGAATTTAGTCAACTTAAATTTAGGGTTACTGCCATTTGATGTTAACTGGCTATTTTATCCATTCGTTGATATAAACTCTTCTTTATGTTGATGCTCTTTACTTTTTGGTATATTTTTAGAAAGGCCAATACTGGTTGTTCCTTTCTATGTATAAGGCTTCTTTCAGAAGCTCTTGTAAAGCCGGCCTGGTGGTAATAAAATCTCTGAGTACTTGCTTGTTCATAAAAGATTTTATTTTTCCTTCAGTTGTGAAGCTTAGTTGGCAGGATATGAAATTCTGGGCTGAAAGGATGTTGAATATTGGCCCCCACTCTCTTCTGGCTTGTAGGGTTTCTGGTGAGAGATCTGCTGTAAGTCTGATAGGCTTCCCTTTGTGGGTAACCTGACCTTTCTCTCTGGCTGCCCTTAGTATTTTCTCCTTCATTTCAACCCTGGTGAATCTAACGATTATATGCCTTGGGGTTGCTCTTCTTGAGGAATATCTTTGTGGTGTTCCCTGTATTACCTGGAGTTGAATATTGTCCTTTGCTAGGTTGGGAAAGTTTTTCCGAATAATATCCTCAAGAGTATTTTCCAGCTTGGATTCATTCTCTTTGTGGTATTCAGGTATACCTATAAAACATAAATTAGGTCTTTTCACATAGTCCCATAATCCCATATCTCTTGGGACTATGCACAAGTTTTAAGAGCTGAAATGATCAAGCAGAAGAAAGGATATCAGAGCTTGAAGACCAACTTAATGAAATAAAATGAGAAGACAAGAATAGAGGAAAAAGGATAAAAAGGAATGAGCAAAGAAATACTTTGCATAGTATTTCTCCAAGAAATACTTTGCATAGATTCTTATTTAAGCATCACAATGGTGTCCTATGAGCTAGCTGCTATTGTCATCTTTATTTTATTTTTATTTTTACTTATTTATTTATTTTGAGACAGAATCTTGCTCTGTGGCCAGGCTGGAGTGCAATGGTGCAATCTCGGCTCACTGCAACCTCTGCCTCCCAGGTTCAAGCAATTCTTCTGCCTCAGCCTTCCAAGTAGCTGGGACTACAGGCGTATGCCACCATGCACAGCTAATTTTTACATTTTAGTAGAGCCGGGTTTCACCATGTTGACCAGGATGGTCTCAATCTCTTGACCTCGTGATCTGCCCACCTTGGCCTCCCAAAGTGCTGGGATTACAAGCGTGAGCCACCATACCTGGCCTATTTTATTAATGAGGAAATTGAGGTACAGAAAGGCTAAGCAATAGCTGGTAAGTGACAGAATTCAAAGTAGAACTCAAGCCCTAGTTGAACTGAATCCAAAGGCCAAGCTCATTCTATCCAAATAGGCTGCTGTTTCATCAAGGTGCTGAGCAATAAGGGCTAATAAATACTGTCCTTTCTTCAAAAGAAGATTGTTTGTTTTGAAGGCAGAGGAGTAACATGCTATTCAATGTTTACAATGACATGAATCATTGTAGGTTTTGAGATATTGCACTACAGTTTCCTGAAAACTCTTCTCACTCTCACAGGACTCCTCTGCATTTGGCCTGTGCACATGGCCGTGTGGAAGTGGTCACTCTGTTGGTGAGCAGAAACTGCCGGATTGACATCGATGACAGACTAAACAGGACCCCTTTAATGAAGGTATATAGTAGTCAACTCTTTCAGCATGGAATGGATTTGATTTAAAAAGATGTAAATAAAATGAATTTATCTCATTTACATATTACTAGTGGGTGAAACCTGTGGAATATGTATTTTGAATTCTTAGAATTTACAGTCTAATTTTTTATCTAACACTGATAGGCTGTGCATGGTCAGGAGGAGGCTTGTTCCATTATTCTGCTGGAACATGGTGCCAATCCAAACATTCAAGATGTCTTCGGCAACACTGCTCTTCATTATGCTGTATATAATAGCGTGACTTCACTGGCAGAAAAACTGCTCTCCTACCACGCAAATACTGAAGCAATAAACAAGGTACAGAATAATCAACTTTCTTTTCAAAATAATTGTTTTAATATTGACATAGGTAAGGGTCAATTCTTCATGTTTGGAAGCTCAAGCATTCTTTGAGTGAAAATATTTTGAGTCTACGTCCATACCACCCTGAACGCGCCCGATCTCGTCTGATCTCGGAAGCTAAGCAGGGTCAGGCCTGGTTAGTACTTGGATGGGAAAATATTTTGAAATTACTTAATTGTCTAAGATTTTACTTGAAATATTGATACTTTTAAAGAAGCATTAGAGATACAGCTTTTTTAGTGCACTTATGGGAAATCTTTGTGAATTTGTTCAAGGTAAACCTTTTTCTTTTCCAAAATTTGTTTCCTACCCCAGGGTTGTTTTTTCTAATTAGTGTTAAAAAACACAGGAAAAAAAAATCTACCCTGGAAATAGGTTTTATCTTAACACTCAAATTAAACTAAAGCAGCTTACAATAAATGGAAATCTTGTTGCTGATGACAATTTTCTTTAAAACACTGATGTATCTTTCAGTGGCAAGGCTTAAGAGGGAAAAATGGGAAGGGAAAAGGAGAGCAATCAGATAATTGCTCTCGTGGAAATTAGGTAATGAGAGAAAAATGCAAAGAAGAGGTTATATTTTTTAGTTGGTTGTTTTTCCAGCTTATGTACTGAAACAAAGTGCTCTTCAGCTTTGGGGTAATCACTTTTGGTTTGGTAAAGAAGGTGATTGAAACTTGCCTAAAGATCAATTTTTAGAAGACTCTGAGGAAACCAGATTGGTAGTGAACAGGGGGTGAGAAAGTGAGAAACACTTGAGCAAAGGGTAAAACATGTTGGTAACTGACTTCCTACCCATCGTGGCAGAAACAGCCGCCTAGATAAGAATCTAAAGTCTCCTCTCAAATCTAGACCATCTTGGTGGTAAGGTGGGAGATAAGGAGCTTATAAATAGCAAAATCAAGTGGGATTTTGAGTTTACTTGTCCGTCTTCTACCCATTCCCAGGAAAATTAACTGGAGTTTTAATAAATTACTCTTACTCTTTTCTCTTTTTTTCCACATCCCAAACCGATAAAGGGTATTAGCAGTGTGGGTGAGTGAGGCAACTGAAGTGATTGTCTGCTGCACTAATTCTCAGCTAGAATTGTACATTACAGAAACCTGGGGAAATTTTTTAAAGAATCTGCAAGTGTAGGCTTTCCCTTGAAGATTTTGAGGTAATAGATCTAATAAGTCCTGAACATGTATGGTTAAAAATATTTTTTGAAGCCATGCACAATGGTATATTCCCCATCCCAGTTACTTCAGAGGCTGAGGTAAGAGGATTGCTTGATGCTAGGATTTTGAGTCCAACATGAGCAACATAGTGAGATTATTCTCTTTAATAACAACAGCAAAAAAAAAAAAAAATACCTCTAGGTTTGAATACACTCATGATTAAGAAGCACAGAATAGAGGAGTGTAATATGTAAGTTCCCACATCTGAAAAACATAAGAAATCTCTAAAAGAGTTGGCATTTGATAAGCACTACTTCCTCCAAATTCTCCTTTCTAATAATATTAGCCTGACTTATCTGTCTGTGACTGGGAAGTGAAAGGAAATATTATTGGTAATATCTCTTAGCTTACAGAATAACACCTTTTCCTTCTCACCATGAATCATTCACTACTATTCAGAGAGTCTTTAGAAATTTGCTTGTAGGTAACCTTTCAATAAGTAGTGGCTGACCCTTTCATGATTTCATATTCCTTTGTCAACATTTAGGTGATTATGTGTCAACAAATGTTCATTACAAGTGAGGTTTTTTCAATTAGATTAGTAGCAAATAGTGAACCTTTTTTTTTTTCAGTTGAAGTTATATTGTGGGCTATCTCGGTATGTCTGTTATGTTTATAGAGCTTTGGCATAATCAATATGACCATTTTAAACACTGAAATCCATGAAGTCAGTGAGAATACAGTAGGAATTCTTTTAAATAATTTAGTTTCAGCAGTCCTATGAACCGCTTATCTATTTGGTTAACAATCTGGGAAAATGATATATAAAGAGATTGTAAATGAATACATGTTGGGAAAATTCTCAAGATGGGTATTAGGAGTCTTAAGAGCAATTTTTATTATATAGATAGATACATATATACATAGCAGGGCCTGAGTTTTTTTGTAAAACATATGACACTAGAGAAAGAAAAAGTTACACAAGCAAATACTTGGTTTATACACAACTATTTAGTAACACATTTGTACCAAATATAAAAACACAAGGGCTATAGTCTAAATGTGGCACATCGATTTTTTTTTTGGACTCCTTAAATTGGGTCAACAGTTAGGAGACTCATGCAGAAATCTGGACTTCAGGCTTGTCTTAAGAGTCAAATCTGGTGTCCCTTGAGACTCATCACTGTTTGGCCTGCTGTGTGGAGGCTGCCCCTGTATAGGAGGGGCACATTCTCTAGTTTGCTACTGTGCCCACCTAAGTACTTCACTTACTTAGGTAACCTCCTTTGTCCTTAGAAGTATTTGAGTTTACAACTTCTATTTTATAGTATATTTTCATAAAGATTTCAAGGTTTTCAAGACAGCGTATATTGGTTTATAATATATAATTTATAGTTTATATAAATCCCTCAATTATGGTGTTGAATTTTAGAATTCAGAAGTTTTTTTTAAACTATTTTTCTTTATATATACCACAAATAGGCATCTGCTCATAAGAATGTCTAAAAGACATTTTAGATTATTCCTGGTGGGAGTTGGATAGTTTATGAATATTGCAGACATTTTATCTTTCTTTTCAACAATGTCCCTTAAAATCACACACTGGGGTCTGTTGGCGGGGACTAGCGGAGGGACAGCAGGGGTCAGGGAGGTCGGGGAGGGATAACATGGGGAGAAATGACAGAGATATAGGTGACGGGGGGATGGAGGCAGCAAACCACATTGCCATGTATTTACCTGTGCAACAATCCTGCATGATCTGCACATGTACCCCAAAACCTAAAGTACAATAAAAAAATGCAGGTGAATTATTGGCTTTTTTTATGCCAGAAATAAGCCATATACATCAGTATTAGAACTTTTATTGATGAGCCATTGTATCTTTATTTCTGATTTATATTTTGCCTAAAGTAAAAACATAATGTTAAACAACAATTTAAATGAAAACCAATGCAAATGGATTTAAAAAGTAAAGTTGCATTAGGGTTCCAGAATTGCCATTATAATTAGGAATACAATTTCTTACAGAGCTATCCTTTTTAACATTTATTTTCAGTTTTTTTTTTTTTTTTTTTTGAGATGGAATTTTGCTCTTGTTGCCCAGGCTGGAGTGCAATGGCATGATCTTGGCTCACTGTAACCATTACCTCCCAGGTTTAAGTGATTCTCCTGCCTCGGCCTCTGAAGTAGCTGGGACTACAGGCATGTGCCATTACATCCAACTGATTTTTGTATTTTTAGTAGAGATGAGGTTTCACCATGTTGTCCAGCTGGTCTCTAACTCCTGACCTCAGGTGATCCATCTGCCTTGGCCTCCCAAAGTCCTGGGATTCCAGGTATGAGCCACTGCACCTGGCCTTATTTTCAAAAAATTTTAACTTGCCTCTCTTATACAGAACATACTGAACTTTTTGTCAGTTAAGATAAAAAGCTATCCTCTTGTATTAGGAGAAAACCCCTGAACTATTTAATAATAAGGAAAATAAGTGCATTTGAAGCCAATCTCTTTTCATTCAGAGCTTATTTTCTTAGTGATCCATTCAGGTCTGGAGAACCTGACTTTGGCATCTGGGATCTTGACACCATTGGTAGGAGTGAATCAAGCAAGTTTGTGCCACTCAGAGGAAAGTCAACCTGTTTGGGGACACTCTGGCAACTGTATCCCTGAAACTCTAGTTCCTAAAATGTTAACGTTTGCCACAAAAAGTATTGTCAAATTGGGATTAGGCAAAGCTCAGGAGGTTTCTTGACTGTTGGACATACAGTGCAGCTTTGTGACACTTCTCAAATGCAGACAGTCATGGAATCTTTCTGTTGGGGTACAGTACTTCTGGTAAAACAAACATTCTTTGGAATATAGTTTAAGAACCACTGCTCTAGAGATAATGATTTTTATTATTAATTTATTTTTAAAACTTAAAGCATTTGTTACTATGTCTTAGGTTTTAGGGTTATAGAGAAAAAGGATATAGCCCTTGCCCTCAAGAAGCTCTTTGGTTTCAGTGGGAAGTAATGAAATAATTACAATATACTGTGCTAAATGCTGTGTTGAAGCAATGATTTATGGGACTGGTAAATAAAGTGAGTTTTGGAGATGACCACAATGTGGGGAGACAGCAGAGGTGTTTGCAAGGCAGTGTGTGGGAAAGCACAGAGGAGGGAGAACGAAGGGACTGCTTTGCATTTACTTAACTGTCTATATTGTATGTTTAAGTTTATAACATCTTAGAGAAGATTTTTAGTTCAGTTGAGAAATATGTAATTTTGTGAATTATAAATTGTTTTTGCTTTCTTACAGGAGGGAAACACACCACTTTTACTTGCTGTAATTTGCAAGAGACAGAAAATGGTGAAGTTTTTAGTTAAGAACCAGGCAAATGTACACGCCGTTGACAATTTCAATAGGTACAGTAGTTATTTAAAAAAAATAATAAAATAAAAACTGAGTGTTCTAGAGTATTAGTCACGCAAGTGAGAAATATTAATAAAAAGATTAACTTGCCGCCGGGCGCGGTGGCTCAAGCCTGTAATCCCAGCACTTTGGGAGGCCAAGGCGGGTGGATCACGAGGTAAAGAGATCGAGACCATCCTGGTCAACATGGTGTAACCCCCCCGTCTCTATTAAAAAATACAAAAATCAGCTGGGCACGGTGGCATGTGCCTGTAATCCCAGCTACTCAGGAGGCTGAGGCAGGAGAATTGCCTGAACCCAGGAGGCGGAGGTTGCAGTGAGCGGAGATCGTGCCATTGCACTCCAGCCTGGCTACCAAGAGCGAAACTCTGTCTCAAAAAAAAAGAAAAAAAGATTAACCTGCAATTGTCGGCATACAGTGAAAAATAACACAAATAATCAGGTAGAAAAGCAATTATTTGGACTGAACAACATAAAAAACAGTATATAGTAGGATTCATCTTCTCTTATAGACTCTTACCTTTAATCTAATGTTTTTTGTCCTATAATCTTATATTAGCTAAAGCAGTTTTGTATTTTATTAATTTTATAAAGTGCAGACTTTGACTTTCAGTTTACATCTACTACTATTACGAGTATTATTACCACCATTATCATTGTTTTCAGCCTGCAGATGGCTCTTCTCTGACCCCTTGCTGACTTGAATTATAGTATATCAGACTAGCAAAGCAATGGGAAAATCTTCATCTAAATCTTTGCCTACTTTAGATAAGTGACCTCAGCATCATTTCTTGGCCATCAAAGGACTGTAAGTTAGCAACTTGTATTATGTCATACCCCAGTGGGACAAGAGGCTTCCTCGTTGTCCCTGCCTTTAAGCCTTGGTGGTAGTTTACAAAGATGAACACTTGAGCACCTAAGATACTGATAGACATAAGCTAGAGCATGTAAACTGTGATTGTGTCTACACTGACAGGCAAGAGAGTAAATTGGTAAAGTGTATCAAATTTGCTGATTAAATATCTTTATTAAATTTATTGAGTGGAGTTATTTCTTTCTTATTTTAGAACAGCCCTCATGCTTGCTTCATATCATGACTTTCCAAGTATAGTCAGCCTTCTCCTTAAAGAAAATGTTAGTATCTTTTCTCAAGATATGTTTGGACAAACAGCAGAAGATTATGCTGTTTATTGTGGTTTGTTAAGGTAAGTGCTTGTATTAAAATACCAGTTAATACTAAATTAAGGTTTAACTGAGCGATGCTTGTCTCATAGAAAGAGTACTTCATGTTTTTCTTCTTTGATTAGAGGCCTAATAAGTTTACAGAGCTTCAAATGTTAAAGTGTGTGGGACATTAGAGTTCTAATATTAGCTCTGATAATGTCTGAAATGCTTTAAGAATTTAATATGTTTGGTGAGTATTTTTCATGTTACTATTAAAATAGTAATTTATTTCATTCATTATGCATAGGATTCAACAACAAATTTTGGAACATAAGAATAAGATATTTAAACATCATCTTCATAATGACAATCAAGGTAAGACTTCTTGATAGTAAATTTCTCATTTCTCTGTGTGGTCTTACTGATTTTAAAAAGTAACATTACAGGCTAGGTGCAGTGGCTCATGCCTATAATTCTAGCACTTTGGAAGGCCGAGACTGGTGGATCACCTGAGGTCAGGAGTTTGAAACTAGCATGGCTATAATGATGAAACCCTGTGGCTACTAAAAATACAAAAATTAGCTGGGTGTGTGGTGAGTACCTGTAATCATAGCTAGTCGGGAGGCTGAGGCAGGAGAATCACTTGATCCCAGAAAGTGGAAGTTTCTTGCACCACTGCACTCCAGCCTGGATGAAAGAGTGAGACTCTGTCTCCAAAAAATAAAAAATAAGAAAAAATAAAGTAAGATTGCATACTTTAAGAGCAGTTTAAACATATATATATATATGTTTATATATATAGATATATATATATAGAGAGAGAGAGATACATAAATTAATTTTAAAAATTTAATTTCTTTAAAATTGAGTGGCTTAAGAAGTTAGTTGTAGCTAACTCATAATCTCAAACAGTATTGTCTTTTTTTAAAATTTTTTATTGGATTTTAGGTTTTGGGGTACATGAGCAGAGCATGCAAGACAGTTGCGTAGGAACACACATGGCAGTGTGCTTTTCTTTCCTTCTCCCCTTCACCCACATTTGGCATTTCTCCCCAGGCTATCCCTCCCCACCTCCCCCTCCCACTGGTCCTCCCCTTTTCCCCCCAATAGACCCCAGTGTTTAGTACTCCCCTTTCTGTGTCCATGTGTTCTCATTTTTCATCACCCGCCTATGAGTGAGAATATGCGGTGTTTCATTTTCTGTTCTGGTGTCAGTTTGCTGAGGATGATGTTCTCCAGATTCATCCATGTTCCTAGAAACGACACAAACTCATCATTTCTGATTGCTGCCTAATATTCCATGGTGTATATGTGCCACATTGTTCCAATCCAGTCTATTATCAATGGGCATTTGGGTTGATTCCAGGTCTTTGCTGTTGTAAACAGTGCTGCAATGAACATTCGTGTACATGTGTCCTTATAGTAGAACGATTTATAGTCTTTTGGATATATACCCAGTAATGGGATTGCTGGGTCAAATGGAATTTCTATTTCTAAGGCCTTGAGGAATCGCCACACTGTCTTCCACAATGGTTGAACTAATTTACACTCCCACCAACAGTGTAAAAGTGTTCCTTTTTCTCCACATCCTCTCCAGCATCTGTTGTTTCCAGACTTTTTGATGATCGCCATTCTAACTGGCATGAGATGGTATCTCAATGTGGTTTTGATTTGCATCTCTCTGATGACCAGTGACGATGAGCATTTTTTCATATGATTGTTGGCCTCATATATGTCTTCTTTCGTAAAGTGTCTGTTCATATCCTTTGCCCACTTTTGAATGGGCTTGTTTGTTTTTTTCCTGTAAATCCGTTTGAGTTCTTTGTAAATTCTGGATATCAGCCCTTTGTCAGATGGGTAAACTGCGAAAATTTTTTCCCATTCTGTTGGTTGCCGATCCACTCTAGTGACTGTTTCTTTTGCCGTGCAGCAGCTGTGGAGTTTGATTAGGTCCCATTTGTCTATTTTGGCTTTTGTTGCCAATGCTTTTGGTGTTTTGTTCATGAAGTCCTTGCCTACTCCTATGTCCTGGATAGTTTTGCCTAGATTTCCTTCTAGGGTTTTTATGGTGCCAGGTCTTATGTTTAAGTCTTTAATCCATCTGGAGTTAATTTTATTGTAAGGTGTCAGGTGTCAGGAAGGGGTCCAGTTTCTGCTTTCTGCACATGGCTAGCCAGTTTTCCCAACACCATTTGTTAAATATGGAATCCTTTCCCCCTTGCTTGTTTTTGTCAGGTTTATCAAAGATTGTATAGTTGTAGATATGTTGTGTTGCCTCTGTTGCCTCTGTTTTGTTCCATTGGTCTATATCTCTGTTTTGGTACCAGTACCATGCTGTTTTTATTACTGTAGCCTTGTAGTATAGTTTGAAATCCGGTAGTGTGATGCCCCCCGCTGTGTTCTTTTTGCTTAGAATTGACTTGGCTATGCGGGTTCCATATGAAGTTCATGGTGGTTTTTTCCAGTTCTGTGAAGAAAGTCAATGGTAGCTTGATGGGGATAGCGTTGATTCTGTAAATTACTTTGGGCAGTATAGCCATTTTCACGATATTAATTCTTCCTAACCATGAACATGGAATGTTTCTCCATCTGTTTGTGTCCTCTCTGATTTCATTGAGCAGTGGTTTGTAGTTCTCCTTGAAGAGGTCCCTTATGTTCCTTGTGAGTTGTATTCCAAGGTATTTTATTCTTTTTGTAGCAATTGTGAATGGCAGTTCATTCTTGATTTGGCTTTCTTTAAGTCTGTTATTGGTGTAGACGAATGCTTGTGATTTTTGCACATTGATTTTATATCCTGAGACTTTGCTGAAGTTGCTTATCAGTTTTAGGAGTTTTTGGGCTGAGGCGATGGGGTCTTCTAGGTATACTATCATGTCGTCTGCAAATAGAGACAATTTGGCTTCCACCTTTCCTATTTGAATACCCTTTATTTCTTTTTCTTGCCTGATTGCTCTGGCTAGAACTTCCAGAAGTATATTGAATAGGAGTGGTGAAAGAGGGCATCCTTGTCTAGTGCCGGATTTCAAAGGGAATGCTTCCAGTTTTTGCCCATTCAGTATGATATTGGCTGTTGGTTTGTCATAAATAGCTTTTATTACTTTGAGATACGTTCTATCGATACCGAGTTTATTGAGGGTTTTTAGCATAAAGGGCTGTTGAATTTTGTCAAATGCCTTCTCTGCGTCAATTGAGATAATCATGTGGTTTTTGTTTTTGGTTCTGTTTATGTGGTGAATTACGTTTATCGATTTGCCTATGTTGAACCAGCCTTGCATCCCCGGGATGAATCCTACTTGATCATGGTGAATAAGTTTTTTGATTTGCTGTTGCATTCGGATTGCCAATATTTTATTGAAGATTTTTGCACCTATGTTTATCATGGATATTTGCCTGAAGTTTTCTTTTCTTGTTGGGTCTCTGCCGGGTTTTGGTATCAGGATGATGTTGGTCTCATAAAATGATTTGGGAAAGATTCCCTCTTTTTGGATTATTTGGAATAGTTTTAGAAGGAATTGTACCAGCTCCTCATTGTGTGTCTGGTAGAATTCGGCTGTGAACCCATCTGGACCTGGGCTTTTTTTGTGTGGTAGGCTCTTAATTGCTGCCTCGACTTCTGACCTTGTTATTGGTCTATTCATAGTTTCAGCTTCCTCCTGATTTAGGCTCGGGAGGACACAGGAGTCCAGGAATTTGTCCATTTCTTTCAGGTTTACTAGTTTATGTGCATAGAGTTGTTTGTAATATTATCTGATGATGGTTTGAATTTCTGTGGAATCTGTGGTGATTTCCCCTTTATCATTTTTTGTTGCATCTATTTGGTTGTTCTCTCTTTTCTTTTTAATCAATCTGGCTAGTGGTCTGTCTATTTTGTTGATCTTTTCAAAAAACCAGCTCTTGGATTTATTGATTTTTTTGAAGGGTTTTTCATGTCTCAATCTCCTTCAGTTCAGCTCTGATCTTAGTTATTTCTTGTCTTCCGCTGGGTTTTGAGTTTTTTTGATCTTGCTACTCTAGCTCTTTCAATTTTGACAATAGGGTGTCAATTTTGGATCTCTCCATTCTTCTCATATGGGCACTTATTGCTATATACTTTCCTCTAGAGACTGCTTTAAATGTGTCCCAGAGATTCTGGCATGTTGTGTCTTCGTTCTCATTGGTTTCGAAGAACTTCTTTATTTCTGCCTTCATTTCATTGGTTACCCAGTCAACATTTAAGAGCCAGTTGTTCAGTTTCCATGAAGCTGTGCGGTTCTGGGTTGGTTTCTGAATTGTGAGTTCTAACTTGATTGCACTATGGTCTGAGAGGCTGTTTGTTATGATTTTAGTTGTTTTGCATTTGCTGAGCAGTGCTTTACTTCCAATTATGTGGTCAATTTTAGAGTAGGTGTCATGTGGTGCTGAGAAGCATGTATATTCTGTGGATTTGGGGTGGAAAGTTCTGTAAATGTCTATCAGGTTTGCTTGCTCCAGGTCTGAGTTCAAGCCCTGGATATCCTTGTTGATTTTCTGTCTGGTGGATCTGTCTAATATTGACAGTGGAGTGTTAAAGTCTCCCACTATTATTGTGTGGGAGTCTAAGTCTCTTTGTAAGTCATTAAGAACTTGCCTTATGTATCTGGGTGCTCCTGTATTGGGTCCATATATGTTTAGGATCGTTAGCTCTTCTTGTTGTATCGATCCTTTTACCATTATGTAATGGCCTTCTTTGTCTCTTTTGATCTTTGTTGCTTTAAAGTCTATTTCATCAGAGATGAGAATTGCAACTCCTGCTTTTTTTGGCTCTCCATTTGCTTGGTAAATCTTCCTCCATCCCTTTATTTTGAGCCTTTGTGTATCCTTGCATGTGAGATGGGTTTCCTGGATACAGCACACTGATGGGTTTTGGATTTTTATCCAATTTGCCAGTCTGTGTCTTTTGATTGGTGCATTTTAGTCCATTTACATTTAGGGTTAATATTGTTATGTGTGAATTTGGTACTGCCATTTTGATGCTAAGTGGCTGTTTTGCCTGTTAGTTGTTGTAGATTCTTCATTATGTTGATGCTCTTTAGCATTTAGTGTGATTTTGGAATGGCTGGTACTGGTTGTTCCTTTCTATGTGTAGTGCCTCCTTCAGGAGCTCTTGCAAAGCAGGCCTGGTGGTGACAAAATCTCTGAGTAGTTGCTTGTTCGCAAAGGATTTTATTTTTCCTTCACTTCTGAAGCTCAGTTTGGCTGGATATGAAATTCTGGGTTGAAAGTTCTTTTCTTTAAGGATGTTGAATATTGGCCCCCACTCTCTTCTGGCTTGTAGTGTTTCTGCCGAGACATCTGCTGTGAGTCTGATGGGCTTCCCTTTGTGGGTAACTCGACCTTTCTCTCTGGCTGCCCTTAGT